TCGAGATTTAAACGACCTCAACAAGTCTAAGACTGTGGAAAAGTTTAGGGAGAATAAGGTTTATAACGCCAGCCGTTTCACCTGGAAATTTGGCTGCAGCAAAATGTAGACATCTCACCGTCATTCCACTGTAGGTGTTAGGACGGTATGGAATGGAATAACTAGGCACGTTTTGTCGGCGGAAACACTCTTTATTAACCAGTTACACTTAAGATAGATTAGTGTTAAAGTGTTCTCTCGAACGGTCAGGCAAAAGCTGCCGCCGTTGCTGACCGGTTGTCGGTCGCGATCTCGCGGACGTCGATGGAGACGCCACGGTCGTTGCGATAACGATTGCGACATACTCCCCCCCGAGTTCGCGAGACGCGACCAAGCAACCAGTCTATTCCCCCGGGGGTTTGCCGGGACCACGGGCGTCACCTCCATGGCCTCGATCCACCGCTCCACTATGGCCAGCTGTTGCTCCTGGGAGCTGGCTGGTGGAGTGACTGGTAGCTGCACCGCTGGCTCTGCAGGCTGTTTGGCTGGTGGCTGCACGGCTGGCTGCTGGACTTCCGGCTGCACCACGGGCTACTGGACTTGCGGCTGCACCGTTATCCGTTGGAGCCGGCCTCTTCCATCTCGGACGTCGTGGCGCTGGTACGCTGGCGGTGCCCTGCGCGGTGGCACACGCCCTGGTGGCCCTGCKCTTGGCCTGATAACCTCGCGTTTWGGGGTGTTTGCCCACGTGRACCGACGTCCCTCCGCGAATCCCCGCTCGAACAGCGCCCACGCGGTCGGGCTTGCCCGTATCCTGCCGAACGATGCAGTGGCCGCGCGTTCGGCTGACCAACCGCCGACTATGTCCGGACCATCGCGGGACAGCCTCCGGGCTTCCTGCAGCAACTGCGCGGCCATTTCCCGAAGCTTTTCCACATGTGTGACAATCATGCCACGAAATGGTCGGTTGTTGCGGTTTGGTGGCGGGTTGTTCGTACGATCTGCTATCTGAAACAAGGTATGGTTAGCTAATGCTCTCTGACGGTCCTACGGCTCGCTTCATCGCTAAGACATGTTACTTAGTAGGGTGTTTACCCTCCGTCAAGAACACTCCGGTYCCTAATGGTTTACCCAACTTAACCGGACCTAATCATTTCGGGGCGAACCCCGCGTGGAATCGCTTCTCCGCACTTGACTGCGGATGCGCTTTGTAGTATACCCAACCCCCTACCGACAGATTGCCTTTTCCCGGGGATTCTGGGAGTATATGGGTACTGGAGGCTTTGGAGCTGGACGCCACCGGGTAAGCTGCCTCTACTACCGGAGCATCATCCGGTTCCACCGGAGAAACTTAGATTTCTCCCGAAGGGTCCCGGTCTGCTCCGGCCAACTCCGGATCATTTTTGCCCGCGTCCGGAGATTCTTCGGCCAGTTCGAGCTACCCATCTCCCGGGACCTTGATCTCCTGATCTCCTGGCCAAACATCATTTTGGCTGGTGACTGTCCTGTATTTCAGTTTTCTGTTTCTTACGGAGAACAACACATGTGGCAGRTAGACATCTCACAGATGATGAGGCTTATCAACGAGTAAGGTTCGCAACCCTTTCTTCAACTCTTGATTTCGCCTTTCTACCGTTTCTACGTGGGTGGTATATTGAAGTTTTCCATCCTCCCACTCACCACCTCCTGAGTGCATCTCCAATTACCTTGGACACGAACTGTGAGCCATTATCTGACAATAATGCCTTCGGGTATCTGAACCGTGGGAACAACTCCCGTTCWAAGGTATCCACAATCGATTTGGTCGTCACCTTCCCTAAGGGGTAGGCCTCTACCCAGCAACTGTAACAGTCAGTTACTACCAAAATCGTCGTCTTACCCCGCTGTGTCTGTGGGTACGGACGCATAAGATCGATGCTCAGCACCTCCCAAGGTTGACGTGGGACTCTGGTGCACATCCGATCTTCAGGTTTGCGATTTAGTGGTTTTACACGCGCACAGACGTCGCACGCCCTTACGTAATTACGCACTGCTTTTCGCATACCAGCCCAAAAGAAACGACCCTTTATGCTTCGGTACGTTTCATTCCACCCTGGGTGGTTGGCTACTTCGTGGTCGTGAACGTGACAACGGGATAGCGCGTCGGCTGCTTCATTTTCTACTCGTTTTGGCGTTTCCCGACCCGACTTTCTTTTTGGGCATGCCGCTTGTCAATGGTCATGACTACCACACACTCTGCATTCTGCCCCTGAAGATAGTCGCTGCTTTAGATTCGGCACCTGGGATTTCTCAGCACTCTCAGCTTTTTTTTTATCCCACCATTTTAACTTCGGTGGTCCGCTGGTGTTCACTCCCRCCTTATCCGATATTACGGCCTTGCTGCCATCCAGAACATGGGCAAGAGCACGTGGTTCACTGAACGCTCTCAGTCGCTGAATACGTGCATGAATTCGAAATCTATCACGCATGAGTCCAATCACTGTCATAACAACCGCTTCTTCTGTCAGACCAAGGTTTAACCTCCGCTACAACTGATACTTGTGTAGGACGTACTTYCCCAGTGTCTTGGTCTGAGTGGTGCTCAACAATTCTGATTGCAGACTCAACTGCAACTCGTCCTCGTTGAACTTCTCCAATAGTTCAGATTTGA